TGGGTTTGACAGTGGGCACAGGTATCGGAAGTCAAGAAATGCTGTTAGACTTTGAATTCTGGCTTTTCCAGAGAAATATTTTAATATCCTAGGCATTCAGCTGCAAACTGAAAATCCACACCTTAGGAGTAAATTCCATACACTAAAGTAGAGCCTATTCTAGAACTGTCCTAACATAGCTTAAAACCAAACATTAATATGATCCACACAAAGGACTATTTGAAAGAAATGAGCCAGGAACTAAACTGCCTGATAGAAAAGAACAAACACTCGTTAGATAAAGGAAACAAAATCCAGAGGCTCCAAATTGTATAAGCCATGATATCCAGTGTAAAATGAAAAATTATGAAATATGCAAAGAAACAGAAACATGTGAACCAGAGTTGAGAAAAAAAGAAGAGCTGTCAATGGATAGCAATCCCAGGCAGTCAGCTGTCTCAAATGTTGTATTTTGTAGACCATGACAGTAAAGAGTTATTAGAATGATTATCTAGGACTTACAGGCAAATCTGGTCTTAATGAACAGACACACAGGAAATCTTAGAAGAGAAGTGAAAAGTATAAAAAGAACTATATGATAAAAGACAATACCTAACATGAAGAATTCAGTTTATGGTAGTTCTATTTTCAACTTTTTGAGGAACCTCCACACTGTTTTCCAGAGTGGCTGCACCAGATACAAAAGTAGGGATCCGAAAGGGTACGTGTACCCCGATGTTTATAGCAACAATGTCCACAATAGCTAAACTGTGGAAAGAGCCAAGATGTCCATCGACAGATGAATGGATAAAGAAAATGTGGTATATATACACAATGGAATATTATGCAGCCATCAAAAGGAATGAGATCTTGCCATTTGCAACAACGTGGATGGAACTGGAGGGTATTATGCTAAGCGAAATAAGTCAAACAGAGAAAGACATGTATCATATGACCTCACTGATATGAGGAATTCTTAATCTCAGGAAACAAACTGAGGGTTGCTGGAGTGGGGGGTGGGGTGGGATGGATGGGGTGACTGGGTGATAGACACTGGGGAGGGTATGTGCTCTGGTAAGCGCTGTGAATTGTGCAAGACTGTTGAATCCCAGATCTGTACCTCTGAAACAAATAATGCAATATATGTTAAGAGAAAAAAAAAGAAGAAGGTAGCAGGAGGGGAAGAATGAAGGGGGGGAAATCAGAGGAGTAGACGAACCATGAGAGACAATGGACTCTGAAAAACAAACTGAGGGTTCTAGAGGGGAGGGGGGTGGGAGGTTGGGTTAGCCTGGTGATGGGTATTGAGGAGGGCACGTTCTGCATGGAGCACTGGGTGTTATGCACAAACAATGAATCATGGAACACTACATCTAAAACTAATGATGTAATGTATGGGGATTAACATAACAATACAAAAATAAAAAAAAAGAATTCAGTTTATGGTATAATAGGTCAGAGATATCATAAGAATAGGACAGCAAACTTGAAGACAGATCAATAGAAATTATTCATTCTAAAGATGAATGAAAAATATTAAAGTCACTAGAGCTTCCCAAATGGGTGGTATAATACCAAACAATCTAACGTGTAACTGAAACCCCAAAAGGAAAAGGAGAATGGAACTGAAAAAAATACATTTAACAAAATTATAGCTGAATTTTTTTTTCTGAATTTGATGAAACATATTGACTTCTACATCCAAGAGCTGAAGAGAAACCCAAGCAGGATAAATGTAGAGAAAATAACACATAGGTCCTTCATGATCAAACTATTGGAAACCAATAATAAAGAAAAAATCTTGACAGCAGTATAGGGAAGAAAAGACTCATTACTCACAGGGGCATATAATATGAATTATGGTTCACTTTTTATCCAAAATATAAAGCCAGAATTAGATAAGATTATGTTTTTAAAGAGCTAAAAAAAAGAAAGATACTGTTCTCTTAGAATTCCTTACCCAGCAAAAAAATGGTCTTTAAAGGCAAGAGTGAAATAAATACATTTCAAGTAAACAAAAACTAAGGTATTTGTTGTTAGCAGACATGTACTACAGAAAAGGTAATAAATGTTCTTTAGGCTGAATAAAAATGATACCAAATGGAAGCTCTCACCTATCTATAGGAGAGAAAGAAGAGCACCAGAAATATGAGTTATGAAAAGAAATACAAATGCTTTTTATTTCATTTCTCACAATTTCCTAAAAATATATAGGGTAAGAATAATGACATTGTAAAGTGGTGTTTATAACTGATGTAGAAGTAAATAATATGACACCAAGAGCATAAAGAGCTACTTGTAAAGGGGGGCAGGTAAATGGAAAACCTACTGTAGTGAGATTATTACATTCATGAAAGGAGATGTTGCAAACGGCAGGTGGCAAGTGGAAAGTGCTAAGTATGAAGTGGTACAATATCGACTGTAAATAGCATTTATAAATTAATGATACATATTTGGGTCGACAAACTACTGCCCACAGTGCAAATCTGGCTTGCTACCTGTTTTAGTATGGTCCATAAGCATATGATATTTAAAAAATTTTTTAATGGTCAGAAAATAAACCAGCAAATAAATAAAAGGAATGTGCAACAGAGACCTTATGCAGCCTCCAGGAAAACTAAAATATTTACTACCCAGCCCTTTGAAGAAAAAGTTTGCCAACCTATGATCTAGAATTAAAAACCAGCTAAAAATTCAGCAGAAGAAAAAAACTGAATACTAACAGAAAATCACTTAACCATAAAGAATTTACCAAAAATTAATTAGCCAAAAAGAAATCAGTAAATGAGTAACAGATAATAACAACCACACACACACACACACACACAACCCAGAAGGGACATATTGACATAAATTCAAATATATTAATAAGCACATTAAATGTAACTATACTAAACATTCTAATGAAAAGGCAGAGACAGTTATACTGATAAAAATGCAAGACCCAATTACATGCTATCTATAAGAAACCTACTTTAAACGTAAAGATCCCAATGTATGTTAAAAGAGAAAAAATGAAAATAATGATCATAATAAAGTTAGCATAGCTAAATTAATATCAAAGTAAACTATGAAAAAGACTCTTGGTAGAGATTATAAGGGATATTTCATAATGATACATGGGACAATTCATCAGAAAGAACGAGCAATCACAATGTATATGTAACACACTGGGATTTGGATTTGGATGCAAAAATTTTATGGATACTAAGCAGACCAAAGAAGCCACACTTGTGGGTCCAATTCAGGCCACTAGTGACTTCTGAGGTCTAGTTACACTGACATCATTATTCTTTCACTTTAGTTTATAGATCTGAGTTGGTTTTCTTTTCTTTTGGAAAACAATCCCTTTTGGACTATCTGAAGGACCATTCTCATTTAGCTGGTACCAGTCAAAATTCTCAAGATTTATAAGGGAATAAGTGATTCAGTTATGTGGTTTCCCCCAACCCTGACTTTTTTGGTAGAATATTTTCAAATAATATAGAAAAGTGGAAAGAATAGTATAATGGACAGACATATCTCCCACTTAAATTATACAGTTATTAATACTTGGCCATATCTGTGTTTTTTCTCTCTCTTTATAAATAATGTTAAAGTACATTTCAGAAATCCTAACACTCTCCTAATAAATATTTCAGCATGCCTCTACAAAAACTAAAGACATTCTCCTAAAAAATCATAATATCACAATCACTTAATAAATTAATGATAATATCCTCATATAGTCTAATAGTTCATATTCAAATTTCCCCTTTCGTCCCCAGAATATCTTTTTTTTAATAGCTGTCTCTCTTTTTCTATTTGTCAAATCAGAACCAGTCAAGAGCTATCTGATCAACCAGATATTAAAAATAGATTACAATTTACATCTCTCTAAACCACTTAACATTACTGTTACACATGATATAATATAAAAGAGAATCAAGAGACTTGAAGCAAAGTGAAAGCAGGATGTGGGTAGATGCAAGGAGAGATGGGAGGTAAAACACTGACAATGACATGTAAGCCCCTATAGGAAGATGTACTACCAGAGTCCCAGCATCCACAATTGGAAATAATACAACCGCAAAACTGGGCTAAGAATAGGATCATTCACAAATACATATTCCATGAAAGTGGCACCAAGGTTACATGTGTAACTGTTTCTCACTTTATTGTCAAGCATCTGAATCTTTCTGAATGAGGACAGACATTTTTATAGCACGTTCTGTTTAGCATTGGACATCTGAAGTGGCACGTAATACAAAAAAGGAGACTTGTGGCTATAAATTGTGTTTTGCAAAGCAAAAGCTGCATAATAATGAATATCAAGGTTTTTTTTTTTTTCTTTCCTATTTTCATTTTTCTTCTTTGCTCAAGAAAAAAACAAATCATTCTGGGAATGCATTAGAAATCAATGACAAAGTAATAGAAAATGCTGACATGTGGAAATCCCTTCACAGCAAATGAATCTAATTTCTTGTGTTCTTAGCCAGTTTTAACCTTAGGCTAGGTCTGGACAGGAGAGCTTCCAAGAGCCCATTACACCTGCAAGAACCTTTAGGGTAGAGAACGTACATGGCTGTGAAAGAAGTTACCATAACAATTATTTTATTCAGTTTCCTCACTTGGAAATCTTGTCTCAGAGAGGTAAAATGGCAAGGTCACATCAGCACTTGGGGTAGAGTATAAGCTAAGAAATTGCTGACTTACTACAAAGTGCAGTTTTTGGATTCCATTCCTGAAGGCTAGAATTGGACTCCAGGATTGGAGAAAGGATTTGTTAAGGTAAGTTCAAACCTAGAGCCCTTTACATAAAGGAACCTGTCAAAAACAAACCAACAAGCCAAAAAACCCAGAGTACTAACTTACATTTCGAAACCAGAATCACAATGATGCTACCTTGGCACTGGTGAGTACAGAAACACAAAACAGATCAAAGAATTGGTTCTGGCCCTCTCTGTCACCTCAGAGACCCCAACACAAACATCTCTTAAAAGACAAGACCCCCTAGGAGACAAATAGAACTGTTAAAGTACCTTGAAGCAGACAAATGTCTTGATGAAGATGAAAAATATCCAGTCATATCTGATTGGGACTTCAGGACATTCCCCTATTGAATTCAAAGGAGTTGGGAATTGAGGCACAGATCTTCTTGACCTGGAAGAGACCAGAAAAGGTGTTAAGGGTATCTAACAGAAGGGCGCCTGGGTGGCTCAGTCGTTAAGCGTCTGCCTTCGGCTCAGGTCATGGTCCCAGGGTCCTGGGATCGAGCCCCGCATCAGGCTCCCTGCTCCGCGGGAAGCCTGCTTCTCCCTCTCCCCCTCCCTCTGCTTGTGTTCCCTCTCTCGCTGTGTCTCTCTCTGTCAAATAAATAAAATCTTTACAAAAAATTTTTTTAAAAAAGTATCTAACAGATTAGAAAACCAAATCTTTCAGTCTGATGAATGTTTTCAAACCATCTTAGGCACATGATACCCAGCCTTATTTATGCTGTTTTTGTTTTTATTAAACAAAACATATATTTCATATGGGCACATTGCCAGATGTATAGTGATTCATTTGTCCATCTTATTAGGCAATCATACTTTTCTGGATTATAATAAAGAACCTACATGTTAGTAAGTAAGAAGTATAATTCATTAAATACATACCAAAAATCATTTATTTACTAAAATCCATTAATTTTATACACAAGAAAGCCATTCAGACCCTAAAACTCTTTCACCTAAATTCCCATACCGAAATTCCTATTTCTTACTGCATCACAAATCAAAAACAACAAATTAAGATATAGGACAGTGCCTTAATATTGATAAAAAGTTACAAGTGAGAGAAGACAGCATTATACATTTGAGTAACTCTTGTGGGCATCACATTACTATAACATAATATAAATTTATGTTCTTTATTTAAAAATAATTTTTATGGAGGTAAAATTTTTCTTACACTGCCAGACACTGACTTCAAATGTAAACTTCCATGAGTTGTGATAATTGCATAAATCCATACAACCACCACCACAATCAAGATAGGGGAACATTTGATGGGCAACCTTTGCCTTGATTCCTATCACCTCAGATTAGTTCAGCCTGTTCATGAACTTCACATGAATAAAATCACATGTATTTATTCTGGTTCTTGTCCAGCTTCTTTCATTCAGCATAATTTGTTTGATGTTCATGCACGCTGTTGCAGGTATCAGCAGTTCACTCTTTTCAATGTTGAGTAATACTCCATTGTGTGAATATGCCAGGATATGTTTATTGCATCTCCTGTTTATAGGCATTTTAATTGTGTTTGGGTTTTGGCTATGATGAGTAAAGCCTCAAATCCATTCATAGGAAAGAAAGGTTGTTAATGAGCTAAGCGTCAATCTAAATAAATTAGAAAAAGAATGGCAACATAACCTAAATAAATTCAAGCAAACTAAGTGATAAAACTAATAGCAGTTATATGAAATAGAGACATCATAATAAAAAAAACTGAATTAGCAAAGAAAAAGTTGGAACTCTGCAAAGACATAATGGACAAATACCAAGAGGAAAAAAAAAGAAGGCATAAAAATAGATACCAGGGCTGAAAAAATCACCACAGATGCTGCTAACTATTAAACAAAGGAGATATGAAAAAAATGTCAACATTTTTAGAAATCCAGTTAAAATGGACAAATTTCTAGAAAAATAAACAGTATAGTGGAACAAAGAGTAGTTCTATGAATAGTCCTATGACCATTAAAACAACTGACTCAGTAATTAAAAACATTCTTCCAAAGAAAACTGTCTAGATGGCTTTACAAATAGTTTCTAACAAACATTTAAGAAAGAGTTTCAATCATACACATGTTCTTCAGAATACAGAAAAAGATGGAATACTTCCCGACCTATTATGTAAGTCTTACATGACCTTGATACCAAAATTAGACAGGGAGAATATAAAAGAAGAAAATTACAGGAAAATTACATGAATGAAAATTTATATGCAAAAATTTCAGGTGCACTTAGCAAACTGAATGTAAGAAGACAAAACTTGATATATATCATCACCAATGTGGGTTTAATAAGGAAGGTAAGTGTGGTTTAACATTAGATATGCAATTACCTATATTAACAGGTTATGGGAGAAAAATAAAACCACTACCTCAGTAGATGAAGAAAATGTTTTAATACAATTCAACATTTAGTCATGCTTTAAATATATAGGAAACTAGGAATAGAAGGGAAGAATGAGAATTAACATAGTCTCATAAAGGCTACCTAAAAAAACAGTCAACTCTGTAACTCCTGGTAAAATGTGGAAAGCTTTCCCCTGGAGCTTGAGGTTAAGAAAAATATGTCTACTTCTATCACTTTTGTGTCGAAAGAGACCCTCGCCAATACATACAGCAATGCATTATGGGTGGATGATAAATGGATGGATGATAGATAGATAGATTGATGGACAGACAGACAAATGTTATAAAATTGGATTTTTGGGGAAGAGAAAATTGTCATTATTCACAAATGATATTCACAGATGATATAATGTCACATGTAGAAAATCCAAAAGAATCTATGGATAAACTATTGGAATAAATACAATAATATGGTATGATTGCTGGATATAAACTCAAAATACAAAAGTCAACTTTATTTTTAAATACCAATGAAAATATTTAGAAAAATAAAATTAAATAACTATCTACCTATCTATACATATATATGTCATTTTTATAGATCAAAAATTCAATTACCTAGGAATAAGTCTAATGAAATATTTACAAGGTCATTAATACCTAAAAATGAGAGATATTAGCAAAAACCTAGATAAATGGAGAAATATGATATGATCAGAGATTGGAAGACTAATGCTATCCATGTGCTAATTTTATTCAAATTCAGTGCAATCTCCAAAGTTCTGACATCACTTTATTTTTGGCACATGAAAGACTGATTTTGAAATTGCATGAAAAATGTAAAGGGCCAAGACATGGTAGGAGAATAATGTGGCAACACTTGATGTATAGTAGCTAAGACAGTATGGTATTGTTGTATAGACAAATAATATAGCATGGTTTTGTAAAAACCCATGCACATATGAACTTTTGATTTTTGACAAAGTGACATGATAGAGCAAGAAGAAGAACAGCACTCTCAATAAATATTGCTAGGGATATTTATATATGAAAAAATAAAATTCAGAAACTCTATTTGTATTTCACATCAATAAAAATATCACTGCCTTGTAGATTACAGACCTAACCATGTAAACTAAGAAGCTTTTAGAAAACAACATAAGAAGTCTTTTAGAAAATAAGAGACCCTTATGACTTCAGGATGGAAAAATAGCTTAAAAAAAATAGCCAAATCACTAAACATATAAAAAAATTACTAAGAAATTTGACTACACGAAAGTTAAGAACTTTAGTTTACCAAAAGATACCTTTAAGAGAGTAAATGTTAAGCCATGTAAAAGTGAAAGAATATTTGTAATACAAATACCTTGCGAAAGGCTCATCCAAAATCTAGAAAGAATGTGTACAAATCAATAAAACAGAGATGGGAAGACGGATAGAAAAATGGACAAAAGACTTCAACAAACATTCAACAAAAGAAAAGATCTGAATGATCAATAAATATATGAAAGGCTGTTCCACTTCAATAATAACAATGGAAGTGCAATTTAAATCATGATGAGATACCACTGTTCACCATCCAGATTAGATAAAATGAAGAAATGTGAAAATACCAAAAGTTGACTGGAATATGTTACAATGGAAGGCTCATACATTATTAGTAAGAGTGAAAATTGCTATAACCTCTTTGGAAAACCATTTTTTAGTATCTAGCCTGCAAATCAGCAATTCCACCCACAGGTATACATAATAGAATAACAGATATGCATGCATATCAGGTACATAAACAAAAATGTTTATTAAGAACAGTGTTTTAATAGAACTTGGAAACAGTCAAAATGTTTACCAGTGGTATTATGTACAAATAAAATATGATATGTTCATATTGTGGAGCACTAAACAGCAATAAAAAGAATTAAGTACAATTATATACACAACAAGAAAAATTCAAAAATCATAATGTGGACTAAAAGAAATTAGGCACAAATAAATCCTTAATCTCTGAATACTTTTTTTTTAAAGATTTTATTTATTTATTTGAGAGAGAGAAAGTGAGAGAGCACAAGTGCAGGGGGAGGGGCAAAGGGAGAGGGAGTAACAGACTCCTCACTGATCAGGGAGCCCAATGTGGGGCTCGATCCCAGCCCTGGGATCACGACCTGAGCCTAAGGCCGATGCTTAACTGACTGAGCCACCCAGGTGCCCCATCTCTGAATACTTTTATAAAATACTAAAGAAACTGACCAACAATAACAGGTGTTTTTTTTAAATGCATAACTAAGTGGTCAAAATAAAACAATAACAGTAAGGAAGTGATTACCATACAAGTCAGAGTAGAAATTCCTTTCAGGAGTTTTCCTGGCATTGCTCTATGTCCTGAATGGCAGGGAAAGGGGCTTGTTAGAGAAGACTATATTTATGATATTTTATTGAACTATACATTTGTATTTTATGCATTCTATAAATGTGTTATTTCACAACAAAAAGGAATGACTAAAAATATAGGAAACATATAGTATGCTATAGTATGAGATATTCCCATTCAAATAATTAACTGAGAAAGGCTGCTGCCTTTTTCCAGAACCATTTATCTCATAGCATTATCTTCCTTAATGATAGGAGATAAATGAGGCTCCTCTTTGTTCCATTTTCAGATACACTATATATTCTTGTAGATATTGTGGAAAGAGAAAGGTTTTCATTATTTCTTGGCTTTTATTTGAAAGTTAAGTTGCACATAAAGTAGCCAAGAGACATTTGCAAACTGATCTCAAAAGGTAGGTCATGATTCAGACCCTTGCAGCCTTGATGGCGTGTCTTTAATTAACAAAGCAGAGGCTCTAATGGAGAGGCCTCCGAGTGCCACTGCAGTTAATGGTCTGTTAGCATTTCATTTTAAAGGCCTGGGGATAGAGGGCTTAACCCTGGAAAGGGGCCTTGGAAAACAAATTAGAAAACACCAAATGATTAGGCTCCTTAAAAATAGTTCCATGTAAACCAAAAAAACAAAAAACAAAAACAAGGCACGAAAAGCTAAAGGTCTTCATTTACTTGTTTTGCACTTAGAAGTATAGCATCTTCTCTAATATCATGTTTTCCCCTGTCTAATATGGCCAGTCCTTCTTAAATATAAAATCTCTAAAAAAAATCAGTTTTTGGTAATATGTAGTCATTTCAACACCTGATAATAACAAACCCTTCTATATGAATGATACTTAATTCCTTTTGAAGATTCTTATCTTTTTGATCAAATACCATTTTATTATATTTGTATTTCAACTTACCCTTCCTTTTCAATTTTAGAGAATTATTTTTGTGGGCACAAAAATATTAAAGGCCAGAAAGCTGTGATTCCAGTATGGAATAGCCAATAGCTAAGCCACTTTTTCCAACTGAGTGTAATCAATCATCCAAGAAGAAAGCCTCACCAAAACAAAGATTATTTTGTTTCCTAGAGAAATGTTTCTCTCGTAAGTTTGCATGTATGTATATGTTTAAGGAGTAAGTAGCAAGCCCACCAAGAAGACATTCCTTTCCTTATAATAAAAACAAGGCGAGGTGGTTTCCAAGAAAAAGACAAGTAGCGATCCTGTAGCTACTACATATACACCTGAACATGTCTTTAGTGATGGTACTATACACCCCTTGGACCTCTGTCTCTCTCTCTTTTTTTAAGATTTTATTTATTTATTTGAGAGAGAGAGAGAGCACAAGCAAGGGGAGCAGCAGGGGCAGAGGGAGAAGCAGGCTCCCCACTGAGCAGGGAGCTGGATGCAGGGCTTTATCCCAGGAAGCTGGGATCATGACCTGAGCCGAAGGTAGACGCTTAACCAACTGAGCCACCCAGGCCCCAACTTTTTTTTTTAAGTAGGCTCCACACTGAATGTGAAGCCCAACACCAGGTCCGAACTCACGACCCTGAGACCAACCAAGACCCTGAAATCAAGACCCAGTTTGCCTAACACACTGAGCCACCCAGGTGCCCCTGCCTCTGTCTCTTCTTTAATCAACTGATATCTAGATGAGCTAAAAAGCCTGAAAAAGACTGCCTGGCAAGTCACTTTGACTCTTCAGAGGCAGACATTTCTCAGGAACTCAGCCACTGGGAGTAATCACTCTATAGTAAGATCTGAATTTTTAACTTTGAATCTCTGGGTTTAGGCCACTTGTACTCCCCATGTTTATTGCCTCTACAGCATCGATTAGTAGTCTTTTTGAATACCATAATTTGTCTCATTAGGCAGGGGTGAGCCAAGAGAAATTTTGTTTTTGTTTTTTTTTTTAAGATTTTATTTATTTATTTGACAGAGAGAGAGAGACAGCGAGAGAGGGAACACAGCAGGGGGAGTGGGAGAGGGAGAAGCAGGCTTCCCGCCGAGCAAGGAGCCCGATGCAGGGCTCGATCCCAGGACTCTGGGATCATGACCTGAGCCGAAGGCAGATGCTTAACGGACTGAGCCACCCAGGCACCTGAGAAATTCTGCTTTTTGCTCTGCCTTCCATAATTTGATGTGATGATTGTAGGACTACTTAAAGGTGACACTCAGACATATAGTGAAAACTGCTTCGTCCTGTTGCCTTTCCCTACATAAATATACTTTCTAGTGCAAAACCAGTAGATTCTAAATTTGGTTTTGATAAGAAATACAAATCCCTTTAAAGGGACTTTTTCTAGTTGCATGTTTCATGCCTCACAATTGTACTCACAGTTCCCTGAACATAGTGGGCACCCGATGTCTATTGCTTTGATGTCATTAGATCCTTTTTTGATCCCAATCTTATCTAAATAATCTAAAATGCAAGGTTTTGTGTGTGGTGGTGGTGGTAGTGGGATTGTTGTGTGTGTGTGTGTGTGTGTGTGTGTGTGTGTGTGTGTGTGGTGTGGTATTATGTGTGGTTTCTCCCCTTACTCCTGATGGATTGGTTCTTTAGATTTTCTATTTTCTATATCCAACATACTAATCTATCAATGATGTCATAAACTGGAGCCTCAAAAGTGAAGACTACAGGACACAAATGCAGGAATAGAGAGCAAAACATTAACCTTTGTGGTTGCTCTGAAACTGTACTGTGGCTAACTGGGGCAGAGGAGACCACGCTGTGGGGGAAAAGTGCTCTCTAGGACTGACGGATAAATCTTTAGGCTGCAATTTGAAGCCTCTGGTGAAACCCTTTATCATGGAGCACCATCACAACAGTGAGTGAAAAAACATTAAGAAAAAAAAAGCACAGCAAGGGATGCATATTTACATATTTTAATGAAAACAAATTATCTCTCCTGAAAGTAATTAATTGTGAAATTATTTAATTATGTGGCAGTAGTAAGGGGGAAACAGTGTTTGAGGTTTTCAGTAAATTCCAGTTTATAAGTAAACTGTTATTTGAGTCTGGGTTCTTTATTAAGTAATTTTTTATTGAAATCTCAGGATATCAAGCCATTTTTTTTCTACTAGTGCTATACCAAAATGCAGCAATTATGCAATTAGAAAGAAATTGCTTTTGTGGATTTTTCAGTTTTGAAATGCACATTTGAAAAGTGGTGGAAAAAGGAGATACAACAGAATACCTGAGAAACATGGGCTTGACTTTTAAATATTTATTCAAGCGACAACTCTCATTGATTGCTACGTCAATTTCTCAGCATGCCTGCATAAAAATAAACATAGAAATATAGAATCTAATGTCTGAAAGGAAACCTACAGATTATCTAATCCAGCTTCCTACACAATACTGAAAACTTTCCCACTACAATTCCATCTGTAGGTCACCAATTTTCACTAACACAAAATGTGTGGTGAAAATTCACTGTGAGTGAATTCACTAACACAAAATGTGAGGCAGAATTCACTGCCTTGTAATAGTTGTAGGAGAACTCTACTGGCTACATTCTCCTTAAAATTTTGCCCATCAGATTAATTTCTGCTTTCTCACAGCACAGGATGTGTCTAATTACTAGTCCACCTTTAGTCTATCACATATTTGCACATGTTATTTTTGCCTTTGCATTTTTTTTTCTGATTCAGACTCCATACTCCTGTTACATTCAAGAACCCCAGATATAGCATAACTTACTTACCAGTCACTGCTCTGGATGCTCTCATTTGAAAGAGCTTCAGTGTGTGAATGAATATCTCCTGTTAAGTTTGGTTTTTCAAACTTGACAATACATTCTAGAATGGAAGCGGCACCATCATCACCACAGATCTGCTCCAAAAAGTCAACTATTCTCTTTCTTGTGTTCCTATAATATATTTAAGAGCCAACGAAGGATACTGACTAACCACAAGGAAGCCACTATTCAAGTGATCTTATCAGTGGTGTGACCAGAGACAAATTACTTGACCTCTCCGTGTCAGTTTCCTCAGTAAAAGGAGGGTAATTATAGTACCTACCTTTCATTGCACTGAAAATGTAATAAGTTATAATTTGTAAAATGCTTAGAACAATGCCTGACACACAGTAAATGTTTTGTAAGTGTCTATTGGTTCCCAAATTGTCTCCTGAACACAGAGGGCAAGGAGAGGCCAAAGAAAGCAGCAGAACAGATTGGTAAGTGGCAAGTTTAATAAGCAAGCCTAATATTAGGTAACCACAAGATGGGTGGATCTCTGCTTTACCTGCCAGAATCTTAAAAGTGTATATAGCGGCCTTAACTGGATTTAGTTGCAGTGTTTCATCCAGATGAACAACATTGTTCTCTCAAGGCTGCATCCTTGAAAATGGCTCGCATGTGGGAATGGTGGGTGAAATGTACATTCCTGGGCAGGGGAGGCAGGTAGGAGCCTCCAAATGCTCAGGGCCAGCTCATGAGTCAACTGGAAGTCACATCATCTGGATGACCTCCTCCAACAGTGTTCATTAAATATATGGCTGAATACAAGTCTTTACAGTTTTATTAAATTTCTTAAGTTTGCTTTGGGTCAGTTGTTCTGTCCTTTAATTTTTCATACATATTTGTTTAGCAGAGTGAGTCCTTTTGTTAGAAGAAATACCATATAGCACCACTATATAATAAATAAAAGAACTGCTCTGTGTATGACTGGGATAAAAGCCCAGACACCTAGATGTAACTAAAGTGAACTTCACCCCATACATGCCATGAAAGCCCAGAAAGCATCTCTTGTGATGTTGGATTCCGAAAAAACAATGGAGATATACTCTTTTAACCTATTAATATGTTTTAGTCCTAAAATGTTTTCCAGTATATGTGGTAACTGTTGCATTCTCTATAAATTTTATAATCAGAAAGATTTCAATCTACCTTAATCACCAAAATATAGTGGAAGAGGATAAGTTCAAAATATAGGACATTGGCATCCCTGAAGTTCCCTTTCTTGCTTGCCATTGAACCATTAGCTAACATTTTCATCTTCTGTAAATCAAATAATGAATTCTACTATCATCCAGTTTACCTTCCTGCATTTTTCCCCAAACAGTATTGTGACTTTGCCAAATGCCTGCCAGAAATCAAGATATAGACTATCTACACCTCCCCCCTTACCTGAATGGCTAGTAATTCTCTCAAGGAAAAGAGTAAAGCTTATAAATTTTGTATTTGCACTTATGGGGGTTCCTAAGAATCCTTTTTTTAAATCTGTGCTGACAATCCTTCTGATCATTCACCCTTTTAAGAACTTTATCGATGGTCTAGGTTCAAATAGAAACAAAGATTAATAAATTTGACATCATTACCTGGTAAAAATTAGCTTTATATTCCAGGTATCAAGAAATTTTTTTGCCCCTTGGTTTAAACTGATACATTACCTGATCATTAAAACTTCTTATAGAAAATCAAAAGTGATTAATGATGTCTTTAAGTATTCCTATCCCCTAAGCTTTAGATATTAAGGCCTGCATTAGTTTCCTAGGTCTGCCATTACAAATTATCACAAACTCAGTGGTTTAAAATGACAGATATTTATCCTCTTATAGTTCGGGAGCCTAGAACTTGGAAATCAAGGTGTTGGTAAAGTGATGCTTTCTCAGAACCCAAGGGAATTCTGTTCTTTGCCAGCTGTGGAGGCTCCATATTATTATTGGTTTGTTGCTGTATCACTTCAATCTCTGCCTTTATCTTCATATGCCTTGTCTTCTTTTGTGTGTATAAGAACACTTATCATTGGATTTGGGGCCCACCCAGGCCTAATCCTGGACGGTATCCTTATCTCATGATCTTTAAATTTCATTACATCTGCAAAGACCTCTTTTCCAAATAAGGTAACTTTCACAGATTATGGGGATTAGAATGTCAAATATCATTTCAGGTCCAAAGACTTAAATTCATATATAATTGTTAATCCCCTTTATTTTTTTCTCTACTATCCAAGAATGGTGGCTTGTACAGAAAACAAGGTTGGAAGTTTAAAGGATGAAGATGAGTGTGATGGTAAAGGCACTTGAAACCATGATGTAAATGGTGAAGGAAATAGCTATTTCTTCTGGAGAAGAAAATACTTAACGATGTGGCTGGGGGCAATAATAGTTCTCTTTATATATTTGGAAGGATGGCATGTGGAAGATGGAATTGACTACTATATAGTTCCTGAGGAGTAGAATTAAAATTGACGGTTGGTGGTTACCAAAAGATATATATATATTATAGGCTCAATTCAAGACACACGTTTCTAAAATAACTGTCCATAGCTTCAATGGATTGCCTTAAAAGGTAGCAAATTACCTATTACTGAGGCCATTCATGTATAGTCAGATATAGAAATTATAAAATGAATTAAAAACTCTAAATGATTTTTAAACTGATTTTTCTGCGATTTTCAAATCAGAATGCATATTAGAGTCACTTGGGAATCTTTTAAAACTTGACATGTTCTCTAAGAGTGAGGTCTGAGTATGTGTGCTTAATCCCTTATTATCTTTTGATTTAGACTGATGGATTCCAAAGTGTGTTTCCCAAACCAGATAGAGAAGCACTGGTTTAAATGATCTTTAAAGTCCCTTCCAATCCTGAGATTTTGATTCCAAGATATAGAAGAGAAGGACAAGGTATTCAATCAACAACAAGTCTAAAACTGAATTGAAAATGTGAACAGAGATTCTTGGGCAAGATTGCCAGCAAATTCCACAGAGGCCATACTGTTCTGTGTATTGTTCTTCTAAGCCTGGATAATCATGTTCAATGATGTATATTCACTTCAAGAGGATTCTTCAAGTGGAAAATGTTCCTGAAAGGTTTAAACACCGTGAATGATCCCAAACTCATCATCATGTCATGGGAGCAGGGGCCACTAGGAATGCAACTACAGAAGGAAAATAAAATGAGGCAAGAGCTTGGCAATTTGATGCAGGCAAGACTGAGGTTATTACAGTCAGAGCTAACAATGCAGTCTGCAGGAAAGAAGGACATTTTGTTATGGGCCAAGGTATGTCATTAACATTTGAGGAATAAACTTTAAAAATTAAATTAAATAGATAAAGAAAGGGGAAAAGGAAGAACATAGATTTAGGAGTCAGGTTCCAGGAAAATAGCAGGTGTAGTCATTATCTTTCAGTGAACACTCTAATATAAATGTGGCATGTCTATCATGTAGAATAGCATGTATTTTGCTATTTTTCTACATGTAGAAAATCATGTGTGCTCTGGATGTAAAAAGTATTGCAACTGGTAAACCAGCACGTATTTATTTAATAGTTTTTTTTTTTTTTTTAAGATTTATTTATTTATTTATTTGACAGAGAGAGAGACATAGCGAGAGCAGGAACACAAGCAGGGGGAGTGGGAGAGGGAGAAGCAGGCTTCCTGTGGAGCAGGGAGATCGACACAGGGCTCGATCCCAGGACCCTGGGATCATGACCTGTGCCAAAGGCAGACGCTTAACGACTGAGCCACCCAGGCGCCCCTACTTAATAGTTCTTGAATGGGCAACAATACCTTAAGGTTCTTTTGCTTGCAAGGGAAGAGAATATTAAAACTGTGCACTGATTTAAAAACAAAAGAAAACAAAACGATTTATTGATGTATTGAGAAGTGCAGTTTTTCAGGTTTCAAGAAAAAGTTGATCTAGCAGCTAACTGATGATATATCCAAGAAACAAGTTGAAAGTTGTTTGTTTGTTTTTCAATCTCTCTGTTCTGATATCCAAGGTGCTGGCTTCAGCTCAGGGCTGGCTCTCCTTGTGGTTGCATCAGCATTTTTCTACCAAACTAAGCCGCTTTCTTTCATGTTCATGTCAGGGGGGTGAAGGACTTCTCTTTTCCTTACTCATACTGAATTATTTTAGGTCACGTGTCCATCCCTGAACTGACCACCAAGGCAAGGGGCATAGGATTAGCTTAGGCTAAGTAGGTCAATGTTTGAAGTGAGGGGATGATATTTACTAACCCCAGCAAAATTCTTCTCTGGAAGGGGAAGAAAGGTGTAGAAGCCAGGCAGGCAATGGGCAATGGAAAAGGGGTGGGTCAGATGACAACTTGATAAAAGTTTGGAATTTTTCCTAGAGATATACTATTGATAAGTACTGGTTTGATTCTTATGAACACAAAGTCGTACATGATACTCTACCCATAACATATATTGATAGTTATCATCTTCTCTTATTTTTTTTACTTTCAAAATGAAAACTCAAAAGGCAAGCAGGAAAGCCATTTTATAATTTATCAGATGTGAACTCTCAGGGCCTGTATTTTAAATCCAGACATCACAGTGTATATATCTATGTGTATAAGTAGTCCAAAGAGAATACAGCTTCTTTATAGTTTAAAAAGAGAGAGAGAGAGAGAGAGGGAGAGAAAGAGGGTTACCTCGGAGAACACAGAGTAGAAGGGCACAGGAGGGGCAGGCAGGTTCAGACTCCCACCTACGCAAATCTGAGCCAAACTACACAGCCTTCCTGAGTTCCTGATTCATCTGCTCATTTAAAGTATGAATTTAAGAAAGTATAACCATTCTCTCTTGTCAGTTGACACCATATGATCCTTCTCTTAATTGTACTGAAAAAATGATCTTGCTTTTGGGAACTGAAACTTACTGGCAGGCACCTAAGAACCAGAAAAAAATACATTGGCAGGCCAGAAGGTTCTGAATAACAAGAGACAATTGTTCGGTCAGCCTCAGGGTGTGGACATTCAGTACAAGCAATTTTCTCTGCTGTACCACTTCTCTATCCTTGGTAGCTAGATTTTTGGAAAAGACAGTCCGCTACCAGGTGGTTAGTCAGACAAACCAACACATTGGTCTTCTTTCAAGACATGGTCTCTACATACTAGCTTA